TATAAATGGGAATGCATGTGGTGTGTGTATATTGTATAGTGTGTGTGGGTCTGTCATCTACAGGTATGGGTGTATGGTATGTCTATATTGTACAGGCTGTGTATCTGTGTAGGAGACATCATCTTGGGAAAGTTTGTACTATATGTGTATGTGTGGGGTGTACATGCTGTGGGCAGGTTGTCTATGGGTAGGAGTGATATATATATATGTGTGTGTGTGTGTGTTTGTGTGTGTGTGTGAGTGTGTGTGTATGATTGTATCTATGTATGCATGTGTGTGTGTCTATATATATACCCTATATATAACATAACATACACATACACACATACAATGTGGGATGTTTGTGCACTGTGGACAGGTTGTCTGTAAGTGGGTGTGGCGTGTGCTTGTTTATGTTGGGTGTGCATACTGTGGGCTTGTTATGCCCAGGTTTTGTTTGTATTTGGGGGTATGTGTGGGGTATGCATCTTGTGGACATGTTATGGGTGGGTTGTGTGAATACGGGTATGCATTGTGTGGTGTGTGTGTGTGTGTGTGTGTGTGCGTGCTGTGGGCACCCTATGGGCCAGTTGCCCCGTGTGTGCCTGGCTGCGAATGTTTTGTGGGTGGGTTGTTATCTCCTCCGTGTGTGTGTGTGTGTGTGTGTGTGTGTGTGTGTGTGTGTGTGTGTGTGTGATATGTATCATGTGGGGTGTGTATGTTGTGGGCAGTTGTCTGTGTGTGGGAGTGTGTGGTGTGCGCGTCTTGTGGGGTTTGTGTCTGTGGTGGGTAGGCTGTCTGTGGGGTGTGGGCTTTCCTGTGGCTTTGAGTATGAGATCAGCATGCCTTGAGCATGTGGGCGCGTGGGGAGGTAAGGCTGACGGCCAGGGCCTCCTCCCCCGCCCTGCGCACAGTGGCTGGGCTGACAGCCGGGCGGAGAAGAAAACTAGACGTCAGGGAAATCAGTCAGAGACAAATCGATTCCCTTTAGAGGTGAGAAAAAGCAGATGCTGCGACGGCTGGTGGCCTGTTAGGCTCCGAGCCGCATCCATCTCAGCCCGCCTCTATTCTGCTAGCTGCCAACGCCCCGCCTTTGTTAGGGGCCCCGCTGTGGGCCTGCTTCCTCACTGCCTTGCCAGCCTTTCTGCGTGGGGTGCACATACTGGTGCCGGAGTGCGCGCGCACCTGCACATGAGGGTGCGCGCGCAAACACAGCACTGGAGAGTCAGAGACAAGGGTCTCATCCCTCGGCATGAAGTCGGAGACTTCACTGGCTCGCCTGAGGACATCCGGGGAGCTGGACAAGGCTGGACCATGGGCATGTGCTCTTTTAGGCAGTACAGTCAAGATGTATGCAGGTTCCAGCAGGAGGGATCATCCATCCTGAGACCAGGGGCAAGCATCGGTCCCCAAACCCTGATGCCTGCCAAGCGACCCTGAGTGGCCAAGCTCACGTGGGAAGCCAGGCTCGGCCTTGTAGCTTCACTCACTAAATGGGTGTCACATGCCCCTGGACTGCAAACTAGTCTCAGCTGTCTGGATAGCTGCCAACACCGTTGAGGCCCGTCTCTGCCCGGATCTTGGTGATTCTTCAGCTGTCAGGTCACCTGGATTCCAGTCCCTCTCCTCTGCTCCCTCTTTCCCACCAGCCAAAACAGATCAGGCTGTGGCTGCTTGGGGACAGGGACTCTCTCATGTGACGCTAGCTTTCTGAGCTCTTCTGTCCAGATCCTGACTTCAGAGAACTTGGCTGCTGGTCGGGAGAAAAACAGTGCTTCCCCTGGAACTGGGGTGCAGGGAAACACATTGGAAGGGCCCCACATCCCACCAGGTTCCTCCTCCAGGCTGGGGGGCTTTAACTGAAGCTGATCTTTTCTTTCAGGAGGACTCTGCTTCTGCCTGCCCCTCCAGCTCTCCTTAAGAACTGTCCCTGAGCTCTGAGACTTTATGACCTCCCCCAGGGACCAATAGCTCTGTGAGCTCTGCTGTGCTCCCTTCCTTCTTGCTCAGATGCCGGCCTTGTCCAGTACAGATGTCCTATAGTTTAACATGAAACAACTGGAGGGGAGGGATGTTGCCCAGCTGAGCAGCTGGTAGGGGTTAGCCATTGCTGGGGTTTGGCTTCAGCCATGCCTGCACTGTCAGGGGCTCCCTCTTATGCTCTGCCTGATACCGACCTGAGACTCATCTGGCCTTCCAGCTTCCGCAGGCACATGCTGACACATCTCTACGTTCTAGAACCCGGGGCTCGCACCGTCTCTGTGCTTCCATGTCACCGTCCTTGCGTTGAAGGAAATTGGAGCCTTGCTCGCCCCGGGAGGGAGTCAGAGCAAGTGAAGGGCGCAAGAGCTGCCGGGGACTAACTGCCATGAGACAGCTCGAGGGGCGGGGGCCTCACGCCAGGCACACAGAACTTAGTGAGAAGTTTTCTTAGAAAGGGGGAGGAAAAGAGAAAAGAGACACAGAGAGGACAGAAGAGAAGGGGGGAGGCAGGAAAAAAAAGTTCTGTCTGCCCCAGGGAAACCGAGGGAAAGAGAAGAACGGGAAAAGAGAGTGGGCGGGGGTCTTCCTTTTAAAGGGGTCCTTTGCACCTGGGCTGACCAGGGTACTGCCTGAGTGCATTCTGCCAGGTGACAGGGGCAGGTCAGCATAATGCCTGAATCCTTACAGTAACAGCTGTGTTTTGGCTACTGGTGGTCAGGGGTCTGGCTTGTGGGAGTCTTTCCAGTGCCCACCCCTGGCTATGAGTCTCATTGTCCAGCCAGATGGGAGAGGCCAAAGAATCAGTCTACAAACACTGATTGAAACCAGTTTGGGGACCAAGCCTTGCTGAGGGCAGATAGCAATTAGCGTAGTGCCTGCCTGGCCTGTGAGATGTATTCAAAGACATGACTGCCGAAAGAGTAGACGGACGTGGGCGTGGTTGTTGCTGGGTGTCCCCCGCTCCCAGGGAGGTTCCAGTCTCACTGAGACCTGTTGGGGTATTGGGCATGGGGTGGGGAACAGGAGCTTCTTCACTGCTTCTGTATCTCTCAAGGAAACTGAGCTCAGGGAGGTGTGTCCTTGAAAAGACCGTGTTTCTGCTGGGATATTAATATTTTAATAATGGGCATCTGAGGCAGCTACAAACATGCCTAGACTGACTGTGCCTAGCCCCAGGCCAGGCCCTTCTGTAGGCAACGCTGCTAGGCCTCCAGAGCGCTCGTCCGTCGGTCTGTCCGCTGTTGCCTGAGCTGTGCTCACCAGCTTCACGGTGATGGTGAGGATCCTGATGTGCAGTTGCTCGTCTCAGAGCCGGGAGTAGAAGAGAAAGTTGCTTGGGTTGTGCTCCAAAGATGGCAAGGGACAGAGGAGCACAGGTGACCTCAGGGACCCAAGGGCCTACCACTGAGAGAACTGGAACGGATGAAACCGGTAGGTTGCCGGAAGAGCTGGGAGTGTACTGCGGAACTTTCTAGATTCAGACTATGCCCTGCTCGTTAGCAAGTCCCTGCAGCTGCAGCCATGTGCCATGCGGCATAGATTCCCCTACCTCCCTGCATCTGTCTGCGACACTGAGTCCTGTAATACTTCCTCCCCTCTGCGGGTGAGGCCTGAGGTTCAGGCCTTGCTCTTCACACCTATGGCCTTTCTTTGGCCCTGAGAATCCCCTTGGCCTCCCTCCAGGCCTTGCTGCAGACCCTCTTCCCAGGCTGCCTGATCAATTCCCGGTCCATGGCCCAGGGTCATTTAATGTCCCCTCAGGGTCTCCCAGGCCATCTGCCTTCGTTGCCTTTAGGCCAGGCTCCACCCTGTATCCAATCAGCAGGCAAGGCCAGGGCACTTCCTCCAAACAGCAGTTCCCAAAACCTGGCCTCCCTGGATTGTATCTCATTGTTAGAGTCATTGATGATCCCAAGGAGCTTCTACTGTGTGTGGTTATAGCTCTTGATACTTATTGTACTGGAAATCATAAAAAGGTTTTTTTTGGCTTTTCGAGACAGGGTTTCTCTGTATTGTTTTGGAGGCTGTCCTGGCACTCGCTCTGTAGACCAGGCTGGCCTGGAACTCACAGAGATCCGCCTGCCTCTGCCTCCTGAGTGCTGGGGTTGAAGATGTGTGCCACAGATGCCCAGCAAAATATAATTTCTTTAAGAGCACCAACAATTGCCATTCCATGTTCATGTAAGGTTTTTGATTGTTTGTTTTGTTAGACAGGGTTTCCCTACATAGCCCTGGCTGTCCTGGAACTCACTCTGTAAACCAGGCTGATCTCCAGCTCAGAGATCCACCTGCCTCTGCCTCTGCCTACTCCCAAGTGCTGGCATTAAAGCTGTGTACCACACATCTGGCTTTGTATTTTTGTAAACAAACAAACAATTTTCTGGGGGCTGTGGAGATGGCTCGGTGGCTAAACTGCTTGCTGTGCAAACCTGACGACCTGAATTTGGATTCCCAGCACACTTGTGGCGGGGCCTTGTAACCTCAGCACTTGAGGTTAGAGATGAGATGATCCCAAGGCCTGCATGGCCAATACAAGATTCAGTGAGAGACCCTGTCTCAAGAAATAAGGGGGAGAAGTGATCGAGGAAGACACCTTTTTTTTTTCTTTTTTCTTTTTTGGTTTTTCAAGACTATAACTTGTTTTGTAACCCAGGCTGGCCTTCAACTCACTGCGATCCTCCTGCCTCTGCCTCCCAAGGCTGGGATTAAAGGCAAGTGCCACCACCACCACCACCACCACCCGGCAAGGAAGACATCTTGATGTCAGCCTCTGGCTTCCACACCTGTGTGAGCTCATCCACGGGCACGTGCAGTGCGCATGCTCACGGAGGTACACGTACCTGTTTTGGAAAACAAAGCAGTTTCAGCCATGCAGTCGCCATTCCCCTTTGTGAGCCCCTGAAGCCGAGACAGCTGACTTTCTTGTTCCTGCCTCTGTAGTCATGCTTCTGACATCACTCGTCACAAAGCTCTCAAGGTACCACTGTAGGTCGCAAAGGAGAAGGTGTCAAATACTTATTGGCCTTCTATCTTTTCAGCCCCCCACCCCAAGAGAACCAGTGTCTTAGCGGTCTCCAATACTGCTATAGGTGTCCCACGGCACCCTCAGCCTGACAAGTGCCATAGGAAGCTTACAGAAAGCCCAAAGCAAGACTTGGATTCTGCAGCTTGGCAAGCTGAGCCTGCAGGTATGAGAAGAATGCATAACTACTGCCTCTAGGAACAGCTATGGTGAGGGCAGCCATAAGCATGGTCGGGGAGCAGAAAGGAGAGGGGGATCCTTTCTCAGCACTTTTTCAAAGGGGTAGGGAGAGTTTCCAGCCGAAGCTGAGGTCAGTCTTTGGGGTCCTGGGCCCCTTTACAAGCTCATGGTCTTACCCCCCCCCACATAGCTAAAAGTGGGGTTACTGACCCAAAGCATCCTTTTGTGTTGGGAGTTGAAATCGTGTTCCTGAGGTTTAATAAAGACTGCTAAGGCTTGTGCCAGGTGTTTTCATGCATGTTACGGTGCCTCATCTCCTTATCCTGCCCTCATTCTGGTGTCATCATTCTCATTTTACAGATTGAGGGAGGCAACGGAAGACTGAGGACTCGAAGGCTGGAGAGGCAGAGCCAAGACTAGAGTATGGTCAATTCCTCTGACCCCAGAGTCCAGCCCTTTCCTTTGCTCCTGGTGGCCCTTTTCTTGGTGGGTCTGGGGATAACTGTTGCAACTGAGAGGCAGACTGATCCTGGAATTCTTTTTTTTTTTTTTTTTTTTTTTTTTTTGGTTTTTACGAGACAGGGTTTCTCTGTATGTTTTGGAGGCTGTCGGTCCAGCCTGGCCTCGAACTCACAGAGATCCGCCTGCCTCTGCCTCCCGAGTGCTGGGATTAAAGACGTGCGCCACCACCGCCCGGCTGATCCTGGAATTCTTATAATTACCTGTGCTGCCTAGACACGAGTGGACTGCCTGCCTTTAAAGTGTTAAGCTTCCTGTCACTGTACAAGGAGAGACCAGGATCCCATGGCTGTGGTGGTGGCCTTGTGTGACAGAATAAGATGGGGTAACCTTAGGGCCTGTTCCTGGATCAGGGCCTTGTAGATGGAAGGTCTGTGGCCAGCTGCTTGCCTGTGGATACTCTGAGGGGTCCCTGCCAGCTCCCAAGCAGCTGTGTCCAGAGAGCTGTAATTAGAGCTGGGCCATAGGCCTGAGAGGTGCTTGCCACAATGTCAAGTACAAACATGGCCCCTGTGGTGAGGACCTGGTGGGTCAGTCTCCCAAATGCAATGCCTGCCTTGAGTGCCATGCTCCACCCCAGCCCCAGAGGGAACCTGGTATCTGGGTTTCACATGTGTTGTCTCCTCTGGGCCTTCCCAGAGCCTCAGGAGGCAAGAAATGGTGTCAATTATGAAGAAGTAGAATCCAGGTTCCCAGTGTCATGTGGCTTACTCAGGGCCATCTTGCTACAACAGATGGGACCTGACCCTGCCTTCGGGTTTAACTTCCTGAACATTCTAGGGGAAGATATAGGAGCCAAAGATGGGCTTCGAGAGACCAGGGTCACAAGCAGCAGAGGTCTGGGTGGGTCCTGGATCATCCTAACTGACCATGCCGTGCCTACCATTAGCTTTTCTGAACAATCTGTGAAGGGTGGGTCCCTGCCCTCCCTGTCAGGCTGGTGGGCAGTGCTTAGATTTTGCATCCGTACGCAACCTTGGACATTCCTCCCACAGAGAGGTTGGGTCTCTAGCCTTCCTTTGAATCTGAACAGTCAGTGTGGCAAAAGAAACCCGAACCTTAACTCCAGCCTAGCTTCCTAGTTTCCATCATGTCATTGGTGGAGACACTTGCTTTTGAAGCTCTTGTCTGAGTACGAAATGTCTCCCCCTCCCAGGCTGCCGTGTCCAGAGGAAGCCCAAGGTACAGAGGCCATGCCAGAAAACACGGTGGCCCAGTGTCTGAGAAGCAATCAGGTGGCCTTTCTGGCTGCTGGAGTTTTCCAGCAAGGCTCTAGACATTGTGGCACAGAACCACGCTATCTCTGCTGTGCCCCATTCACACCCCAGGCCCATAGAACTAGACATATAACGAAAGTGTTCTATGCCCGGAGAGTTTGAGGGCTTTGTCATGCAATAGATGGCAAAGGCAGCTGTGGAAGTTGGGACATGTCATGTGGTCACCACGGGAGCCCCCTCCAGGCCGTTTGCCCCATGTTTAGGAGTTAGGTTGAGCTCCTACTACCAGGGTAAAACATTGCTTAAACAGGAGGTCGTGGGGCTGGGGGCTCTGCATTTCCTGGGGGTTTGGATTTCAGCTTCTCCTGTCCAGGCTCCACTGTGAGTCTCCTGTGCCTTTGGGTGGATGTGACTTAGACTCCTAACCCAATTTCCCCGACCTCTCCGAGCTGGGAGGACCTAGGCAGGTGAGTGAATTCAGCCTCTATGGTTTGTAAGCTAGTAGGACCCACCTTCCTCCCTTGCAGGCCACTGTCAGAGCTGAGTGTGGGGTGACAAATGCTCATTGTCCCTGAAGTCACCCTCTTCCTGGCACTTGGGACAGAGCACGGGGGACTTAATCATTTACAAAGCACCCACTCTCTGTTCCTCCCAGTAGGCCCATGGGATGTGTCAGCCAAATGAGGAGACTCAGGTTGGGGCACATATCCCAGTGGCCAGGGTCTCAGGGATGGACTCCAGGTTCAGAGTCTTTCTACCCTCGTGGTTATTTCCCTCTAAGGTCTCTAAGGGTTCCTGGCTGACTCGCCTAGTCCTCCATTGCTTCCTCCTGGCTCTGCACTTGTGGGAGCTATCACTTGGGTCTTTTTGGATAACTCCCTTCCTTCTTGGGCCTCCAGGTTCTTATTTGTGAATAAGGAGGGAGTCTGGGCAGGTGGCAGAGGGTTTCTTCAGCTCCAAGGGTCTCGGGTAGGTTTCAAATCTGAGGGTGGCCTTGTTGAAGATGCCTACTTCTCTCCTGGTGGACCTAGATATTCCGTGTCTGTGGGAAAAAGCAGGGCAGTCATACCTAGCCTGGCTCCATTTTGCCTCAGGTTGCTCTTGACGGAGTGACAGGATAATGGCTTGGTCTCTGGGGTCTCTTTCAGGGCCATGGGTTCCTCAGCAATTATTTCTGATGGTCCATTCTCTGCTGCTCATCCCTGGTCAAGTCTTAACCCAACCAGCTTCACCAATCTGGCTAGCATCTCCTTTATTCCAGGCAGCCTTCCTGGGCATGTGCCGTGAGCCCCCTCATTCATTTTCCCATAGTGCTTGGGATCTCCTTAAGGCCCTAGTTAAATTTCAGTCTGTCTTAACTACCTGCTCGATCCTTCTCCTCATCTTCAGACCTGCCTGCCTCTCAGCTTCCTGAGTGCTTTACATAAGGTGGAAACCAATCGGGATTGCTTGGCCAACCCAACTTGAACAAATGACTTTTAAAACTTGTGTGTGTGTGTGTGTGTGTGTGTGTGTGTGCGCGCACATGTGTGCATGCATTTGGGTCCTGGGGATTGAACTCAGGTCGTTAAGCTTGACAGCAAGCACCTTTACCTGCTGAGCCATCTCACTGGTCATAAATGAAATTTGATAAGCAAATAAGCAATGAAAACAAGATTCTTAAAACTTTCCAGCTTCATCTGCCTAAGCCTAAAGCTGGGTCAAGGAAGAATGTATTCCAAATAATAGTATTTTGGTCTCTATGGGATTACTCTTTTGTTTGTTTGTTTGTTTGTTTTTTGAAACAGGGTTTCTCTCTGTAGCTTTGGAGCCTGTCCCAGAATTCTCTCCGTAGACCAGGCTGGCCTCAAATTCACAGAGATCCACCTGCCTCTACCTCCCAAGTGCTGGGATTAAAGGCGTGTGCCGCCACCACCCAGCTGGGATCACTTTTGTTTAACAGTTTGCTGGTATGATGTCATTCTCCCAAATGTGTCTTTATGTCTACTCTGTGTCATTCTACAATGAAGGCTGCCAGGAAAGATGTATGCTTTACAACCAGAAGCAGTTATGGCTTTCCCAAGCATGGGACTTTATAAAGTTATTTGTTATATGTCATGGACATTATGTAACTGACTGGATATCCCCTTGTTGCGCTTGCTACCAGGAAGCTCAGCTCTAACGACGGACACTTGGAGTAACATTTAAGATTTGGAGTCTCTGTCTTCTTTACCAGTCAGATTTTCAATTCTTGTGTTACTACTAATTTCTAATTTGTATTTCATTCCTTTGTATTCCCTTATGGGCCCTTTGTGGCTTGGGATATGCCTTAAGTCATTGGGGGCAAAGCAAGATTTAACTAAGCACACATGCAAAGTGCTCACTCCAGCACACGATGTTATCAGCTGACCCAGGTCTTGACCTGTAGACTGGAGAGAGCTGGTGCTGGCTTCTGAGCCATGTCCTGCAACAGGCCCCAGACACACAGACCCCTGGCAGCCTAGACTATGCCCAATAGGTTATGGCCTGCCAGGCCTTGCAATGGATGGCTCTCCCCTTGATGAGCAGGGGTCTGGATCCCAACCATCCTCTGGTATTTCTGGCTTCACCACACTGTACTGACAGCCTGCTGGCCTCACTCCACTTCCTGACCCGTACCTCACTGTTCAGAAGTGTCCCTGAGAAACAGCTGCGGCTCTGTGCTCTCTCAGCTACCTCCTAGTCCTCTGGGTGGTATGTGGTTTCAGTGGCCGTAGGATTAGACCATCTAGGCTGGCCTGCTGCTGTGTCTCTGCCTTGGTGACAGGGCAGGTGGGATGTTAAGTTGCAATAAGGCTGATCTCACATCAGCTACTTCAGAAGAAGGGTGCTTAGCTCCAGGGAGGCCCCACTTCACAGACAAGAAAACCCAGGGTTAGAGAGATGAAGTGTGCCCAAGCTCTCAAGGTCAAAGGACAAGAGGACTTTGCCTTCCACTTGGTGTTAAGTATCCTCTGTCACACCCTCTCCATCCCCAAGTCTATGGTTTGGACAGGATTGGAGAGCTTCTAGTTACCTGGCTAGGAGGTCCTCTGAGGGGTGTAGTGACAACACCCTGTTGCCACAGAGAGGGCAGTGTAGTTTTTTTCTCTACAGAGCACCATGTAAGAAGGGGATCTAGCTATGTGCACTGGCTGATGATCACTGGCTGCAGAAACTGGGGGCTGAGAGGGAGATGTTTGGGCACTGGGGACAATGAGTCTTTCTGGAATAGACTTCCTTATGGCCTCTGCCTGCATTCAGGACTGTGCCCTCTGTCCTTTCCACAAACCCAATTAGAGCAGGTCACTCAGGACTTGAAGGTAACAGGATATACAAGAGCCCCATCCCTAGCCTGGGAATCAAGGCAGCTGGTGTCCATCCCTGTTTGAGTGTCCTCAGGCCTGTCCCTTGACTCTGACAGCGTGAGTTTTGCCACCTGTTAAATAATGGGATCTGAGTTTTTGCACCTCCCTCTGTGATAAGCGGAATAGGTTTTTTGTGAAATGCTTTTTTGTCTCATATCTGAAATCAAGGCGCAGAAGTGATTCCCAGGGGCTCTCTGGGTACCTTCTTGTTCTACCTCTCATTGTCAAAAGCACAACCCCCCCCCAAAAAAAAAACCCAATTGACGAGGAAATCAATGTAATGGGGAAGCAAATATTTTTATTAACAGGAGAAAGCACTTACACACAAGCGTGGCCAGCTTCCAAGAGAGTGGGCTTTGGCTTTTCCTTTCCTTCACATACCGCCTGTCCCGTACCCCTGCCCACGCCCCTTTGGGGTGTGGACAGT